AGGGGTTTCTGGCTTGCCAAGTTCTGCTGTTACCTCATTCTGGCAGACAAGTGATGGAATCCTTGCCAGGCTGCTGCGTGGGGAAAGGAGGGAGCAGAATGTGGAAGCAGAAAGTATCTAACAACACCATCCTAAACAGAAGTGCACCCTTGTGAGCTCATTGACTCCAGTTGATGTGGAAAGTAGCAGCACTGATTAAGGCAGAGGTGTCAAACATAAGGCTCAGGGGCCGGAACCGGGCCATCCAGGGCTCTTATGTGGCCCATGAGCAACTAGTGCAAGGGAGGGAACAGGAGACTGTTCGGTGGGGGGGGGGAGTGGGCAGAGCCACTCCGATTGTGGCTTCAGCATGGTGGAACAACCTCATTTGCAGCAGTCAAGCAGCATGAGAGCATCTGCCCAGTGCTTCACTACTGGCTCTCTAGTCCACCCATATGGGTTTTCCTTTGGACCCCCCTCCCAGCCCATGGGGCTTTGCAGTGAGGATACACCAACCTGGAGCTTACCACCTGCTGTCCTTTATACAGTTTATATCTCCAGTACCTGGTAGTATGTATTATGGCACGTGGCCCGGCCTGACAAAGTGACATTTATGTCACATCCGGGCCTTGTAACAAATGAGTTTGACACCACTGGCTTAAGGTTTCAGTGTTAACAGCTAGCAGACATCTTCTAGGCCTTCTAGGAGAAGCTAGCCTCTTTTATCTGGAATCCATCCTTCCTTTTCTAGAGCCTTGCTTCAGCTTTCTTCCTATCTTAATGATGCCTTTTCCATGATGTCTATTATAAAACTGGCACAGATAACTCAGCTAACACCCCCCCCCCAAAATTCCTGTAGAAGGAAGAACAAGGTTGCTGTGGGCACCCAAAGTTGCCAACTCCAGGTTGGGGAATTCTTGGAGATTTGTAGTTGCAGCCTGGGAGGGGCAGGGTCTGGGAAAGGATGGGACATTTCTCCAGAGGAACTGATCTCTATCTGGAGGTCAGTTGTAGTTCCAGGAGAACTCCAGGCCCCACCTGGAGGCTGGCAACCCTGGGGCATCCTCTTGGTTAGTAAAGAGTCGAGGGAGAACGTTCCGTGGGTTTATTGGGCTTCCTGCCTGCTTTGTCTCCTGGCCTGTTAAAAACAGATCAGAAACGCATGCAGCTGTTTACGCTGGAGGAAAGAGGCACTCAGCTAGGCTATGCAGGCCAGTCTCATGGAGGCAGGCCTGTGGCCAGAATTTTTTTTGGGGGGGGGGAACAGTACAGTGGTGGTCAGCCCATCATTATTTATTTTCTTTATTATTTATTTATTTATACTTTATTAGTTATTTATCAATTTTGAGACTAGGTGGATTACACGGTATAGAACATTGTAATCAAACAGCACGAGAGATCTAGCAAATAATGCAACAGGACTAGGCTTACAAAAATTATAAAAGTGCAAAAAAAGTATAAAAGTATGGCAAGCAGTTACAAAAAATGAAAACAATGCTGTAAGAGCATGATAGAGCATACAACAAATCAAGAATATATAACATACACTGTGGCATAGACTAAAGTCCTGTTCTGTATTAGCTTTAATAAAGGTAAAGGTTCCCTTGCTCGAAAGCCAGTCGAATCCGACTCTAGGGTTGCGGTGCTCATCTCCGTTTCAGAGCCGAAGAGCCAGGGCTGTCCGAAGACGATTCCGTGGTCATGTGGCCAGCATGACTAAACACCAAGGCGCACGGAACGCTGTTACCTTCCCACCGAAGTGGTACCTATTTATCTACTTGCAATTTCTTGCTTTCGGACTGCTAGGTTGGCAGAAGCTGGAACTAAAGATGGGAGCTCACTCCATCATGCGGCAACTTGGGTCTCGAACTGCTTTAATAAATTGGGTCTCGGATAGCTTTAATAAAAGGCCCAAGCAACTGTTTTATATGGTGTGCAGAATTAAAGAAGTGTAAGAGTCTTTCTTCCGGTTACTGAAACCTGAAACTGTAAACACAACCTTCTTTTCTATGTAAATCACTAGCTCAAGGCTTCTAAGGGTGCTACCCAACAAATGGGAAGGATCAGCAACTGCCCATGCGCATGCATTTTCTGTTGTGGCTCCCCTTTGTGGAATGGCCTTTCTGAGGAAGTCAGGACAGCTCCCACACTTTTGTCATTTTGCCAACTGTGTAAAACGGAACGGTTCAAGAGGGGATTTTAATAAAGGTAATAGGGCTATAGGGTAATGGAATGGTTCAGTGAGGAGCTTTTATAAAATGAACAGGACTGTGGACTATATCATGGTATATTATGTACTATCTGTTTGCTGTATCTGTTATCCTGCTCTCACTGTATTGCTTTCTGCCTTTGTAATACCCGTTTCTGCATTGTTTGACATATCATGTGTAATTATTTTGCTCTGTTTCAAATTGCTGTAATCCTAGTCATATTGCATTGCTTATTAGATGTCTCATGTGAATTATTATATTGACTTATACTGTGTAATCTATTTTGAGTCTCAGGGGAAGGTAGACTATATATAAAGTAAATAAAATAAATAAAGTGCATAGGGTCAGGCTGTGAGTAGGATTCTTTTCTAAGTTACTAAACATAGGGTCAAGCAACAGTAGCATGATCCCTGAGTTGCCCACAGTTTCCCAGCAACTTTCCATCTTCAAACAAACACCACAACCCTCCTCTGTGAATAAGATTACTATGCGGTAGCATATACTGGGAAAAGAAGATTTGTGCTCACTTACCTCTGGACCTAAATTCCTTATTATTTGTCTCCTGTCAAAAATAATTTGCCCAGCAATAAGAGTTCTATGGGACTATTGTGAAACACTGTCCTGTTCTCTCTGTCTTTTTCTTTACTTTCTTCTGAGTCTGCTGCAACACCATTTAAATCCCTTCATTTCTTAATCTCTCTCTCTCTCTCTTTCTCTCTGTTTTACTCCAACATGATTTTATTCCTCCCCCCACCCCCTCAGGCTTTTAAAATCCGGACTTTTCAGCACTGCTAACTGCGAATTCTGTTCTAGCCAATTGCATAGAGAATTCACCCTTGGAAGATTTGTGACAGGATTCACACTTTTTACCTCAACTCCGTCCTTTTTTACATAGAAAATTTACGCTTGAAAGATGTGTGACAGATTTCACACCAACCCCTAATGCTGATTGGAGGGCATGAAAAATTATTGATGGGGCACCACCTCTTCACCACCATGCCTATGGGCCTGCCTGGAGGGACAGTGGATGAAACCTCTTAGGTTCCCAGATCTTACTTGCTTGCTCAGTGGTGCCAACAAAACCAGGCGAGAGCATCCACCCTCCTGAGGAGATGAAGGCTGGTCTGTGTATTGGGGTGAACGGGGCATTGGGCTTGGGTGCTTGTCTTGCAGAGGGTGCCAGCTGCCCTCTTGCTGCCCTCCCTGGGTTGCCTGTTGCAGCGGGGGCCAGGGAAGAATGCAGGAGATGTTTAGAGGGCTAACCATTAGTGGGCTATTGAAAAGCAGCTAGGTTCCATACCTTCAGCCCCAATTTTTCCATCTCCATCATGGTCTGCTGCTGCCAGAAATGTTTTGGTTTCTGCTGCTGTTAACACTCTGGCTCCGGACTCAAACCTCTGAAGGAAAAATCTGGAAAGAGGAGAAGGATTACATCTCGTTGGGTAAGACTGTGATGTTCACTGTTATCAAGTGGCTAAGAAACTGTCTGCCCAGACATGAGTCTGGTGCAACATGAAAGCTTGCTAGCTTCAGCTGGTCCAATATAAGATACATCCAAAGTATTTTTGCTGGAGAATTGGGGGGCGGGTGGGGGCGGGTGGAGCAGAATCCCAATAGAATCTACACTATCTACACTACAAACCTATATTACTTTCTGTCATGGCTTCCTCTAAGGAACTGTGGGAATTGCTATTTGGAGAGACACTGACAAAATCTCTGCTCTCGGATGGCAAGTACCAGGGTTCCATGGAAAGTGCCTCAGTCTTCCAGTGCTAGCTCTTGAGAACTGGCGAGGTCTAATGGCAAGAATATTGAGTGCTGATTTAAAGAACACCGAATTCCAGATCACTCTTGGAGTCTTTGGGTGGGCTTGATGGACCTGCTACTGCTCTCCCAGTTTCATTAATGACATCTGAATTATATTTTGCTGCTTGTTCTTTGGTGGTACTTTGAGTCTGTCTGTCTGTCTGTCTGTCTGTCTGTCTATCTATCCATCTATCTATCATCTATCATCTATCATCTATCTGTAACATATGAATAATTAAGTCCTGACCCAAAAGAAGATAAAAGAAATAATGTTGCACCCTGCAGAATAACTTGCAAATCAAAGCAAACACGTTTTGCCTTCTGTTGCTAAATATTCCCCCATAACAGGATTCCCCTATAACTGCTGGGTGTTAACAAATAGTGAAAAGAGTTGTTCCTACACTCTCCCCCAAGCTTAAAGACACATGGCCAAGAGAATCAATCGCCATTGGTTTGTAAAAGGCAAACACATGGCCCTGATTCAAATTAGGAGAGGGTGAGGATTATTTAACTATCCCTGCTCAGTTTTGCGGATGAAACTGGGCTCCCAGCACTGCTGTTAAAGTAAAGCATTTTAAAGGGGGAAAGTCTATATATATATATTTGGAAGCTAAGCTGAGTCAGCCCTGGTTAGTACTTGGATGGGAGATCGCCAAGAAAGTCCCAGGTTGCTACACAGAGTCAGGCAATGGCAAACCGCCTCTGTTTGTCTCTTGCCTTGCAAACCCCATGGGGTCACTTGTAAGGCAGCTTTGACTTGATGGCACTTTCCACCACATACGTGTGTCTATACTTAAAGAAAACATTCCCCCCCCTTTTAGAATCTTAATAGTGCAGGGATCATAGTTTTGATTCCCCCAACCCCACATGTTCCCAGTTCATTTCGGGGCTGCATACATAATTTGCCTTTTAAAGACAACTGGAGACCCATGACCTTCATCATTTGTTCCCTCCTAAATTACATCCCCAGCCGCTAAGCAAGCAAGCAAAGGATATCCGTTTTCTTGCAATTTCTTCTAGTTTGGTCTAAACCCATTTTGAAGGGCAAAAGAGAGAAAACCAAAACAGTAATAAGAATATTTTAAAAAGAACTCACTTAAGTTCATCTTCCTCAATGAAGCCGCTTTGATCATTATCTAGGATCCGGAAAATTTCCTTTACTTGGCTGCCACTCTTTTTGGACATTCCACTGATCTGAAAGAATTTTTTGTGGTTGAAACTATCTGTAGCTAGACGGAAGAAAAAGAAAGAAAGTTGCTGTTATCTAGTAGCTCGGGGTGCAGATGATAGATACTTCTTTTTCACTTAGACGTCTGACCTTCAAAGCCTTTACGATCGTTCTCCTAAATAATGTGTTTATGGGTGTGTGTTAATCAGTAATGTTTCAGTTTTTGTTGTTGTGCTTAAATGTTTTATCGCTGGGTGACTGAAATGACTTGCATGTGTGAAAACAGCTACCACAGGTCAAACAGATCTGACTTTCATCGCCTGACATCACTTCAAATGCAGTAGTTTATCAGTGTTCGAGCACAAACCATTGAGTGATATAAGTCAGTGAGAGACGAGACATTAAGTGGTGTTCAGGTTCCAATGCCTTTTCATCTCTATTAGACCACGGGTCTGGTCACATGGACGTTTAGTGCGGGACTCGCAGCTGATCTCTCCCGCAGTAAAGGTTCCTGTCTATATAGGCAAACCCGCTTCCCGCTCCGAAGCCGGCAGATTCCCGCGGTTTCAGCTCTTTCACCCGCGTTTTTTTGACACCCGTTGGAGCAGGTGTTTTCCAACATCTCGCACTTTGTATCCGCGTTTTTGGTATCTGGACAGCAACCCGCCGTGACCACGCTACCCTCCCCCCCCCGTTTTTTGGGGGTTTTTTTGTTTCCGGTTTTAGTTATACGCTTGTGCAAACAGGCGCTAGCTTTTTTTTTTTGGTCTTTTCCAGCTGTCAAACGAGCAATAAAAACCTGCCGAGCACAGGCAGAGCTGGGAACTTTGTTCGGGAAGGAGCGAGTGAGTTCGAAGCTGCTCCCGGGTGTGTGCACGGGCCAGAGAGAGAAGGAGGAAGGAGACGGGCTGGGAAGGGAAGCCGCCGCCGCCGCTGGGCAGGGGACGAAGCCCGGGCACTGCCTCTCCGCCCAAAGGGGAGTGAAAAGTTAGGCGACTCGTCGGTGGCACTCCCGGTTCCTGTGCTTGGGTTGGGGTGTGTGTGTGTGTTTGCGGCCGCGGATAGGAGATAGGATGGCGAAGGTCTTTTTATTAGTTTGTATGTACGCCCGAGCGCATGGGAAGACAAGCGCATGCCCAGATATATATATATATATATTTAAAAAACCGCCTGTATGAACAGTACTTCGCGCGAGGGAAGCGGAAGACAGAGGGACCGTCTGACCACCTCCAAGCGATATAAAATGTCGTGGATATAAAAATCGCGGGAAAACTAGCGCGGTAAGAGGTCTGTGTGACCAGACCCCAAGTGTGTCTGCCAGACATTTTTTATTATT